AGGTACCAGATTTAAACACTGTGATTCAGTGTTCAGTTCACGTAGATAAACACTGTGATTCAGTGAAAAAAATCTAGATTTGGATTGGATCAAGGTTTTCGAACTAAGAAAAATCATTTTGATTTTGGGACTTGGATAAGATGTATTTGTAATTCAGCCCCATCTATTGTTTCTACCTTGTAATCAAGCTCTGTTACATAGAGAATTATGATCATTAGGGAAAATGTCAGGGTTGTACAGCAACCATCATTAAGTTTGGCATAAGGTTAATCAACTGTGAAATCTCTACCATATTGCCTTATAGAACGCTTCCTGAAATTCCGTCAAATTTGCCTTAGATTTCCCCGGAACTCTTCTCTCATTCTCAATCCACATCTTCAGAGCTCACCTTTAGTTCTCCTAACAATTTGTTTAAAATATTTCTCAAAATTATCTAGTCAAATTCTCCTCAGGATTCTTTCATAATTATTCCTAAAATTCTGTACATAATTCTTCAAACTGTCAGATTGGAGGGCGGGTGTTTGACGCATAGAGCCTGTCAATTTCGCTTTCAGAGTGTCGCAGTCAGCGGTTTTATGATTCGTGAGCGCTCGCGATTCGTAGAATCGTTGATTGTGACTGCAAGTGGATTTGGCGGGTTTTGTGTGTCGAACGCTTGCTTTTTGACCTCTTTTTGTGTCTAACATGTGCAGGGTATCATTATCACGGTGCTCCTCTGACCGTTATTATAAAAAAAAATTAGTTCCATCAAAAGTGAGTATACCAATCGATTCGTTAGATCATTCTGCATCTCTGAAACAAATTTAAAAAAAATCGTAGGGAGCATTTTCGAGTTACGCCGCGAAACAGCGAAATTCAATCACGTATCCTTATTTTACATGCACAAATCGCAACACTCGCTGTTTTTTTTTTTTAGCAGAAAAGTGGTCCTACATAAATACAAGTTTAACTATTCTAAGAGTACGAGAACAAATTCAAAGTGCAGTAAGTATGGTAAAAATCTACCGGGAACTGTTCCTAGAAAGGAAAACCAACGTAATTCAAAACCGAGCAATTTAAACACTACTAAAGTCATACGCGAGGTCATACGCATGTTTAATACTTGTCTAACGGAAATCGGACGAGGGAAGAATCACGTTTGTACTGTCACTGAGCGTTCAGAAAATTTAGCAAGAATTCTTAAAGAAATTAATTCTCCACCAAAGGCATCAGGAGCAGCTGTGTCAAAGTTTCTAGCCGAAAAAGTCTCAACTTCTGGTAAAACAGCAACTGATGTATTTCAGAATGTAGCTTTAACGTTTTATTTGATTCATACAGGTTCTGAAAACATTCGCTTATCAAATCGTCGAGGAAAACCATCCGTATTTCTAAAAGCTAATTCTACTGTATCTTTGAAAGAACGGAAACGCATGCGGACGGAGACGGAGACGGAGAATAACTTGAGCATGCGGAAGACTCTTGGTAATATTTTATTTAGGATTTGCCGAAGCTTTTGATTTGCTTATTGGTTAGTTGATTTACAGGCATCATGAAAGGTTTAAAACGAGGTGGAGTGAGCTTTGAAACTGGCTTAAAAGGAAAGCTTTCCAAACTGAACTAACAGCTTGGAGATTTGTTTAGTATTGTAGAGCTAGGAGAAGTAGCCAAAGATAAAACTCAAAAAGGTACATATTTCAAAGAAATCTAAATTAAAATGCTCTTTTCTAGCTGAAAACGTCCATCTTGGTCAATGTGCTGATGTTCCAGTTATATTTTGTAATAATATACCTGAGTAGACACGCCAGTGAGGAAGAACTTTTCATAAAGCTTGGTATCGACGGTGGAGGAGGATTTTTTAAGATCACTCTCTCTGTTGTATCCAAAACCCAAAATAATTCCGCAGATTATTTTAAAGACAGCGGCGTGAAACGCCTCCATATTTTGGCATTGGCTCCAAATCTTGTCGAAAAATATGAATATATTTTTCTAATCTGGAATGGTCTTTTGAAGCTGAATCACTTGGAATCGATTATTGCCGGTGATTTAAAGATCATTAACGTGATTATTGGAATAATAACGCCTCCACTTCACGTGACACTTGGGATCGGGAACATGGTTTTTCAAGCAGTGGAGAAACAAAGTCCAGACTGGGCAGATGTATGGATCGAAAAGGCTCATGTACGACATCAACAGCGAACAAACGAGCATGTAACAGTCTCCTTGATGCTGTCGATGTTCTCCGAGAAAACGAGGATTTGCTAAACTATGTTGATGTAAGGTACAGTTGTTTTTCGATCAGCAGGTATAAAACTAATGACTGTTACTTTTTATAGGTCCTGAAGCACTTTCAAAATGCGTACAAGAAATGCTTCTCATTCGAACTTGCACCCGGATTTGAAGAAGATATTAATAAGTTTGTCGAATACTGGGAAATGTTGCATCTACCAAAATCGTCCAAATACCATATAACCAAGTTTCACGTGAAAGAGTTTTGTAACGCAACTGGACAAGGTTTGGGTTGGCACAACGAGCAGGCGTCCGAATCGGTTCACAGCGACATTTTATTGACTTGGGAAAGATACAAGACCACGAAAACATCAAAGATATACAAATCTCAACTTCTGCGTGCTGTCGTTGACTACAATAGTGGTCATTTGTGTTAAACCACTTTGAGATTCATTAATTATATTTAGGTTTATTAGTTTATAGTTAATTTAGATTTATTAGCCTACAGTTAATTTAAATAAAACTCAAGCCTTAAATTAACGTACAAAACCCTTTTAATTCCAAAAATTAGCAACCGTTACAAATTATAACCATGGAATTAATAGTAATAATTAATATATAAACACTCTGCAATCGACATTTCATGTCATGTTGCATGCAAAATAAGCATATGTGATGGCGTTTCACTGTTTTTAGTGAGATTTATGCAGTTACGCCTTTAAAAGGGCGTAACTCGAAAATGCGCCTACGTTTTTTTTTTTAATTTGTTTCAGAGATGCAGAGAGATCTAACAAATCGATTGGTATACTCACTTTTGATGGGACTAAATTTTTTTATAATAACGGTCAGAGGATTTTAGTGTCTAATGGTTTTGAGATCCCTGGTTGCGTGAAATATATTTGTGAGAATATCTTTTTGAGATTTTTGTAGTCACGTTTTGTTTGTAGTTTATATTTTATTTCTTTCATGTAATTATCGTAAATAATAGTTATTCAATAATAGATAGTTCATTCATATATTCGTACTTTGACGCGAAGCGCTGTGGAGTATGAGATGCTCCATGACCCTGGAGGGATCGATTTTGCTTACTGAGCAGAAAATCATGCTCTCCGTCATGACTCTTAAAATTCACACTCACTAAACAAAATTAATATGTTCTTGCGATAGCCGGCTATCGAGAGATTAAATAAACAACAAATAAACAATACATCCTTTTGGTTGCATCGCCAACTTGAGGTGAATCCTAACCGAATACCCTACCCAACCCTCCAACTCCGTACCACTTATGAGGGTGTCGCTTAGTCGGTGGCCTCTCGTTAAGTAAGTACTACATCAACATTTCCTTCCCTATCCCTAGTTATAAGCGGCGCCGGTGGTGTAGTGGTAAGCGTGATTACCTCTCACCCCAGCAGGCCTGTGTTCAATCCCAACATCTCTGATCACGCCTTCGTTCGGAAGGTAAGTAAAGCCTTTGGTCCCGGTCCATGAGTTGATGGGTCGATAGGTAGGGTTCAGGTGTGGGAGCTGCCTCCCTGGCGTCGGTAGCATTGGTGCTCAGCACGGAAAACAAGATCGACGGAAAACAAATCAAGGAAAAAAAATCCCTAAAGATGGGCGTGGCCGGGAATAGCGACAGTCATGCTTCTGTTACTCTTGTTTAGATTGGAACCAATGTTCACTCCCCAGCATTATTCCTGAAAGTAGTCTAACTGAGGATTTCAGAAGAGACGTGAGTGTCGCTATTATCCAATCTACGAAGTATATCATAACAACGCTAAAGCTAACGCTAATTTTTTTTTCGATGTCTAATATCTCGAAAAGTTCAAGAATATCAACAACTGGTCTGGTCTAAAAATTTGCAAAACATTCTAAATCCGCGATCCCAACATTATTTTGTGGATCTCACAGTTTTTAAAATAAACGTCCAAATTCAATATTTGATCCAAGGTTCCACTCAGCCCCGTAGCGTTCGGCTTTTCGAAAAAATTACATGTAACCAAGAGGAATTTCAAAATTCTGAGACTCTTAAAAACATGTGTAAGCTAAATTTTGGAACACGATTTGACAATGAATTTAAAAAAAAACTCAAAAAATTGATTCATTGGCGTATTCTATTTTATCATGAAACCGGGAAAACTACGATGGAGTCCCGGAAAAAAAACCGGTAATTTAATTTCCTAAATTCAGTTTTCACCTTGTTTTTTAATAACTGTTACTTTTTAAAGCAATTCTTAGATTTTCTTTAATGTTAACCCATAAAAGCATGACAGTTCATATTTGCTTGATTTCCTATTCTAGTGGGACTGTGCTTTTATAAATAATTGAAATTGATCTCTCATAATTTTCAATTAAGTTATCATAAGGTACCATATCCGATAAAACATCAAATCCAAAACTTTCAAACAGTTCTGCAGTTTGCCCTCCTGCCGTGTCAGCAAGTCAATTTCACGCGCTCCATGGCTCAATTTGTAAATCTTTTCTCCACCGCTTCCGGAACCAGCAGCAGACAAAGCTGTTTCTCTTCTGCCTGCCGTACAATTCATCTCATTCAGTCCAATCGATGATCAATATCGCGCTCCAACTGATTGCCTCACTACCGACTACTCGTCGTCCATCATCTACACCGGAATAGCACAATCGGCTTGTGCGTTAACAAACTTTCTCCACCCCGTCTCGGCAAGTCTGCGATAAGTTATTGTTCCGTTTTGTTTTATGATTTATATCTCATTATTTTACCCCCATACCTTAGCTAAGTACCTAATACTTCAACGTTTTCCGTGTGTTTATGCTTTCAGCCCGGACGGGATGCCAGCGGTGCCGCGATCGCTCTATTCACTGCCAACCTGCACTACCCGATGACGGTCACACACAAAACCACCCTGCAAGGGGTCGTGTACCAGCTGGACGTTGCCCTGCAGAGTGCCGAAACGCAAAAGGCCGGCCTGGTGTTCATCTACGACATGAGCACCTCCAAATACTCCAACTTCGATTACGACCTGTCGCAGAAAATACTCACACTGCTAAAGGTAGGTGTCCCCTTTGTGTTATCAACATTAATTTTAAACATATCCTTGTTCAACTACAAGCAAGAATCGCCACTTGAATTAGGTCATACTTGGACTACAAATTCTTTGTCTGTTATTGATGAGTATTGTGAAAAGGGGGAGCTCGTAATTTAGTTCCAAATTCGTTACTCCATTTATGCCATCGGAATCACTAACCACAAGGCAATAAATCACAGTCACACCACCCGTTCAGTGTCATTTCGCAGCGCAGTAGCCGTCACTCAATATATAGACGATAGAACCGCAACAATTTAGCACTTCTGCGCGGTGATGGTGGTGGCATTAATTGGGTCACGACCCGCGCCGAAATGACCATGGTTGATTTTACGGCCAATAAAGTTTGTTCTTGCTCGTCAAGTAAAGCTATTGCTCCAGCCGATGATGCTCTCGACCAGTTACGCATCGTAAAATTAGAGCAAGAAATATGAAGTGATAACGCCGCCGGCTGAACGGTGAATTGCATCGCGAATCGCATACCAGAAGCTTGCTGTAGACTACACACGAGCTATTTATGGAATTTCGGAGAACACACTCTCCGAAGGTTTTACCTCAATTAATCTATGGCTTATCTCCTCCCGACGTTCGCAGTATACGGTCTAACTCTAACCAAACACTCATATATCCAGACTCATTCACTGGTGTTGGAAAACGTTTAGGAATTATACCCAATTGATTTTTCCCGCACTCGACACCGGCGCCAGGGCAATCATCGTTATTCACTTGTGAAATTATTCAAAACTGGTAAACATATCGGAACACTGAATGACGACGAAGACGACGACGATGGGGAGTACTACACACGTCGCTGCCGTCAGGTCGCTCCTTACCGAAACGTGTTTACCTAACAACAGCAGCGTGGACTGATGTGTTTTGTTGAGGATCTTCCCGGAATTTGCAAAACAGTTGGTACTTCGCAGTTAGCTTTCGTACTGGATGCAAAACAGCCCACACGTTACCATCTGGGATTTCGAGAGCAAAACATTGATGACGTCGATCCTTCGTCGCCTCCTTGTCGTCGTCGGCCGTTAATGCCCCGTGGATTTTGATGTCAACTTTTGCCCGTGATGTGTGCATACCGAATTGCGCTGCACGTATAAATTCTGCCTTTGTTGTTCATAGTAATGCATCTTAAATTATGATGACGATCAGCGTCGGCTCGGATGATGTAAAAGTGATGTCTGTTTCATTAAACTAACAACCAACGAAGGCAATGTTGTTTGTCGATTGATTCAATTTAGTTCTGCAAATTAACGTTACAAGAAATGTGAAATGTATTATTAATAACAAAAAAGAGTCTAATGGAATATTCAATAATTACGTAAGCTCTTGGAATCAGTTCACGTTTTCTCACTCGGGGGAGAGGGGGGAGGGGGAGCTTTGTCTCAGAAATATCGTACAGAAGCATGAACATATCGAATGCAGAACATAAACAATTCGTTGTAAGATGTTACCAAAAGGGGAAGTGGTATTTCGTTTCATATTACTAAGTCTTACAATGGGGTGAGAAGTGTTTAGGGATTCCTTACAAAAATATTATGAGTCGCTCCGGTATTCCTTTGAAATTTTCTCCATGCTAAGTCGTCTTGGGATTCTCTGTTGAGCAATTTAGAAATTTCCTCCAGAAACATCGTGGATTCTCTCTACAATTATGCTTCGTATTTTGATGCACGAATGTGCACAATTTTCTCTCTATTCCCTAAATGTTATGTTGAAAGGTCTCTCAGGATTTCCTAGGTATGCTCTGTAAAATTTAGAAAAAATCATCTTAGTTCATCACAATGATCTAGGAATTCAGGATTTTCCAGAAAATTCCTTTAGCATTAACCTCAGCTTTCGCAACATATTTTCCCAGAATTCCATTGAAGTGCTTCTCAAAATTTCTTTGAGATTTGCCTAGGAATTTCCTTTGAATTCTCTCTTTGTTAAGACTTCTCCTCAAATTTCATTTTCAACAATTTTGAGAATGTAACCTTACCACAGAAATTTCAAAATTTTCATTGTTCCAGAATCATGACCATTATATTAAGTTCTAAACTCAATCTTTCGCTTTCCAACATGCGGCGTAGTAACATTTGGCTTAGTGGCTTTCGTCGGACTTCAAAAATTGATCTTAAATGTAGATTTTTGACAATTGCTATTCTGCAACCGAATATTTTTTCTAAAAATCAACAAAATTTTACAATTTCCCGAACTTTTCAAATTAAAAATGCAAAATCTTTGGCAAAATCGAATTTTTCTTTTTTATCCTCTTCCACGAAATATCGTCCTCCGTCTTCATCGTCGGAATTTAACCTTTTGTTTGGTTTTAAAACTAAACATGTTTTTTTTACAGAGTAATATCAAAGACATCATATCAAGAAAACTGGCAACTTTGCCAGAATCCAAGTATACAGTAGCGCTGCACTTGAGCGAAGGTGGAAGCAACGCATAGAAAAATGAGCAAATACACAAACCTTTCTTCTGAGGATGTTATCTTTGCTATCAAACTCGTTCGAAACATTTACCTTTGAGCAGATGACGCAATTATACCTGTCTTATAGCGGTCGTACGAGAAAATGGAAGAATTGCCAGTCTTCTTGATATGTTGTCTTCGGTAATATCCAAATGATTTACAAATTCATACTAAATTCATGTTCTTATCTGCATCAACATGAGAATTGTTCTTCTTATACAAGACGGAAACGACGGCCAAATTAATTCCATGAGCAAATCATTGGGCATTCAAGGTGATCACTGAACCGGGAGAATCGGGAATTAACCGGAATCGAAATCAACTGGGAAAATCAGGGAATTTGATTGATACTTCAACATACAATTTTTATTAATAAATCTATACATAGCTGGAAAAAGGGCCTATCTGCTTTGATCGATTCTCTTCATCGACTTTCTCTTTTGTTAATAACTCAACTACAACAACATTCCTTGTTGTATTTGATGATTTAGACGATAGACAAAAACCTCCTTTATCATGCTATGTGGCAAAAATACCACGGTAACTGTTTGCACAGCCGTGGTTATCAAAAGAGAAAGTCGATGAAGAGAATCGATCAAAGCAGATAGGCCCTTTTTCCAGTTCTGTATATAAATATTCTATGTCCGATGTATCAAACAGGGTGGCCAGCAAACCGGGAAAACTGGGAATATCGGGAAATATCCGGGAATTGAAAAGTAACCGAGAAAACCAGGAAAACCCGGGAATTCGACGAGAGAACCGGGAAAATAAATTAACCACACCATAGGAACACATTTGTACACCATTAAAGCAGAGTGATCCTTTACCAAATGAATGTCTTGATCTATTTGCTGCATAATTTTCTTCAGTTTCGCGTCTTATTATTTTAAGAATTTATTCACTCAGCAATATTGCAAATTGATTTTTTCGTTTCAATTTCAGATGAAAAGTGCATGGTTCTTAAAAGAAAATATTGAAGATGCTGGACTTTGGATAAAACTTAAACTGAATTACTCTTTTCCGGGGTTTTAATTTTTCGTTGTTCAAAATTCTCATGATATGATTTCCAGAATAAACTTGGAATTCTGCACGGAATTATCATGTAATTCTTCTGAAATTAACTAGAAAAGACTCTGCGTAATAATTACTGTTGGATTCTTGTTGGAATTTACTTGAAACCTCTTCTAATAATTTAACTGGAATTCTTCCTAGATTTCCCTTGATCCCATTCGGTGACTTTGATTCATATGAAAATCTTTTCCAAAATTTCTTTTTACTCTATTCAAAACAGCAGAAATCTTTCGAAATTTAATTTAGAAACCCCTTGAAGTATTTTAAAGAATTTCTTTCTAATTAACAACAATTTTTTGCAATACATTTTTTTTGAGTTCTATGATGAATTTTTCGCACTTGTGTTGAAATTATTGCCCGAAACACTCTTAGAACTATGTTTCTTGTTGAATTCTGATCATAATTCTCTTGGAATTCTTCTTAAAATGTATCTGTAATTTTCCTCACGATCTCCATAAAAATCTCCTCAGAATCAGGTAGGAAGTATACTTAAAGTTTTGTTTTTCACAACTCCTTTTGAAAACTTCTAAAATTGTTGATTACAAAACAAACGAGTTATTGCGCATTGCGCACATTATAAGTGCGATCATAAGCACGGAAAAGCTTTTAAAAATGCGCGTTTACGTTAAACCATGTCGGTGTTTTCAGCGATTCCGCACTTTTTAGGAGTCCAGATTCATACTACATACTACAGCTGCAAAATACACTATTTTCTTATCTATTTGTTCTGTCAAAAATAACCGGTACTCTCAACCCTGTCTACGTCTTCGGAAAAAAAAAAGTTCAAGCAAAGTTCAAACAGACATCTTTTCCTTTTCTTAAAATACAGAACGTCCAGCTCAGTGCTTTAGACTGCGGAAACCCAACCTCGCTGATCTAATATACGGCTGTAGGTATACGCAGTGCACTAGGTTCACCGACAAACCGACATGAATGACCATAGCAAAAACAATAAAATTTCTGACCAAAGCACACTACTGACACCTGGCTATTTAGCTAAGCCATGAACCCGCATGCAAATGTTATGAATTGGTTCGTGTGTGATCTATTCTGGACAAATTATTTTTATCTAGATAAAAAAATCCTATAGTTTTGAAAGTTCGGATCACTGCACATTAAAATCGGCCGTTTACGACTTTCGGGCATAAGTCAGAATTAAGTGTCATGTCGGTTTGTCGGTGCTAGGGGCTCCTCAGAGGACGGTCTGAAAACCTATTACTTACTTACTTAAGGGTCCTGTGCACCACCAGCGGTGCAAAGAGCCAACGTGACAGACTTCCATCCTGGGCGGTTGTTCGCTTTTGCCTTGACCTGGGCCAGGTCAGATTCCTATCGACTTGCTTAATTTCCTTATTGAGGCTCCGCCGTCATGAGCCCCTGGGTCTGCCTCTGCTGCGATGTCCTGCCGGATTCCAATCCAGCGCTTGCTTGCAGATTT